CAGCCTCTCAGAATCCTGCCGGCTTTTTCTTTGTCACACACACAGTTCATACCCCCTGTCAAATCTCCAATTGGTGACAACTGAAAATTGCTGATGACCAAACCCCGACTAGAGCTACTGGATTTCCTGACATTTTCAACTGACTAGGAGATGTCAAGTGGTAATTTTCGAGTATCTCCAGCTAGGTTTGAGGATGCATGCAAAAGATCAGGTGTGCTGGATTTCTTCTGGTGCGGCATATTATCAATGCACATAGATACTGCCAAGAGTCGCTGGGGGTAAATATGACTTGCATCGCCTGTTTTCTTGAGCAGAAAAGATTTCTCTATCAAGTTTAGGAATTTATATCAAGTTCCTTGACTAACGAAACTAAATATATATATGTATGTTTCAACAGACGGCTCCAATATCCTTGGATCTCCACTAAAACAACAAAAGGACCCTTTCGAATATGGCCAATTCCCTACTGTTTTTACCCAGCCAACTGTTTCAACCGTTCTACGATGAAATAGGGTCCTTCTTACTAGGCAAAACCTCTCTTACTAAATCATTAATCATTACTCCTGGGAACATTAACCATGCTAAATATGTTGTCTGAGTTTCGGTGCTGCTCATATTACAGCGATTACATCTGCTTTGGGAATCTTACCACGTCGCCTGCATCACCTGGAGCATCTAGGCCTTCTCGAATCCACCACGGCCACAAGCTCAAATAAAAAGATATTGATTTTAACTGGAATCCTAGATTATTGGTATCACCTTAGAAGCTTAAGAAGAGCCTCGAATCAACTTTCAATAACTCAAATACCTATCAAGTTGTACGTCCTGATAGTATTTGCTCCTAAACACCCCGCATCTTTCGATTATTTGGTTCATATCCAGAAAGAAAGAAAAAAAAAGTGAACTCTAGACTACATCACTTGCTAAAAGCAACATTTATCATAGTATGTTTGATCCTTCGAAATCCGATTGTCGAATTATATATGCTTTATATAAGCTCAAATGTTGTAAGTTCTCCTGAACATATAAATTGAGAACAGTGTTGAAAAGCACATGTCAACCATAACCAAACACCAGACATCTAGATAGAGCCCCTGAGAATTTCAGCTCCTCTTTCGCCATTGTCTAATAAAATTAATTCACCATATTTCTCGCTATCTAACTACTCCAGAGCTTCAAGTTACGCGCTGACGTCAACCTCACGTGAGAGGACACGCGGCCCGAGCTCGTGTGGAGCCGATAACGAACTCCCCAGTCATTCCAACAGCGCCAATATACCTTCACCGGTTGCATCTCCCTGCGCGTCCATCTCATTGGGGAAAACGTACATGCACACACACCAAAACAAGTCCTTTCTTTCCCAAACTACTCAACATCCCCTGAGTCTCTCATTCCACCAGATATTTGGCACCGACCTCCATGGTGATAGCTTGACAGGCGTCCACACCCCGCGTCCAACTCAAGTGTTTGATCGTCTGACCACACAACCCCAGTCATGGTGGCCTGGAATGTCTTTCGCATCATCGGAGATCTATCCCATCTAGGCTCAATATGTGTTCTGCTCTGGGCTATCCACAAGAATAAGAGCGCTGAGGGTTCGTACACACTCGTATCAATTCGATTGGAGATATCTAGGTATCCTGCAGAGCTTACTGAAACATGTGTTTGATTTAGGTGTCTCACTCCTCACGCAGCTGCTTTACGGCGTCGTATTCATATTTCGCTATCTTGATCTGTTTGATCCCCACTCGTACACGCGAGGGACATGGCATGGCATTTGGAATGTTTCCTTCAAGCTCTTCTACATAATCTCATCCCTATACTTGATATTCCTGATGATGAAGGTATTTCCGCGAACAAGGGAGAGAGAGCGAGCTTGGAAACTCGGATCGTGGTCTGTGCTTGGGTCCCTTGTTTTGGCACCTATCTCAATCTGGCTTCTCGACAGAGAGACTTACAGTGTATATTTCCTTGAGGTAAGCTGGACAAGCCCAAATTATTCACATTTTGCAGCTTAATTGATTCAATCATTCAGTTTTGTTGGGCTTTCTCCATCATTCTTGAGTCTGTGTGTGTTCTGCCGCAGCTCCTTCTTCTTCGACAGACCACTGTCCCGACGGTGATCGACTCATATTACTTACTTGCTCTGGGCTCCTACAGAGCATTCTACATTCTCAATTGGATAGTCCGCCTCTTCAAAAATGAGCCCTTCCATGATTGGATCGCGGTTGTGTTTGGAATTGTACAGACCGCCTTTTATGTCGACTTTGCATGGGTATACTATTCGCGCCAACGAGTCAAGCTTCGCAATGGTGGCGTAGTCGACTCCGAGGACTATGGGAATAGCTGGCTAGTGAATCGCGTGGTGAATTTCCGGGCATCGCGACGCTCTGCAGATGAAGAACAGAACCTTCGAGACGACGAGGAAGAAGTGGATGGTCAATCAAACCACAACCGGTGGGGCGCTCGTGGTATTTCCATCGCAGCGGACGATACCCTTGAAAGCAATGGTCACAATAAGGGACCTCATCATGATGATAGTTTAGATGGGTTTTCAGGGGACGAAGACGAAACTGATGATCACCGGGTGAACAATTCTCGTTAAGCGATAATTTTCTATGGGCAAATTCAATCACAGCATGGCATATCTATATGTCAGTCATGCTGGTTGGATGTTAAGCAGAGTCTTCATGAGGCTCTAAATGGGTGCACGGGAAGACCCGCTACTGCCGTTATAGTCTGGTTATCTCCCGTGATTTGATATCCACCTTTTGATTCCAGACCTTTTTTTCCCACGATAGAATTTTTGAAATGAGAACATGTACAGAGTACGGTCCCGGGGAGTACTCCGTACTCGCCTCAATTTTATGGGGGCCGTTTTTGTTCATGCTACACTGTGTCACGATACTACCTGGGGGTCATTTGATGTCGTTATGTAGTAACCCACTATGAATCCTGATTCTCACTTAGTCTTTACCTATTTCGTAGTCAGTAGTCATTTACTGCCTTGATTACTTCCATATGCATGAAAACCGGCTAGTCCATAGTTCTATGAGATTCTCGGGGCTTTTCATCTTAGCTGCCACTTTTATGGAGGCGCTCCCCTCGGGATCAGCCCTGAGAATATTACATTACTACAGCAACTATTGACCTTGGAGCACTCCGCATCCCATACCCAAAGGAGCATTTGGCCCCCACGAAAGTATGCATCTTAAATAAGTTATCACATAATATAATATTGTCAGAAAAAAAGAAAATAGAAGTCGTCATACAGGGGCAAAAGTGAGAAAATAAAGAGGCGATAGTTAATCTAGGAGATCTAAGCGTTAGCTCCATCGGCCCCCGGGGGGAACGCTGATCTTCAAAGTCTACCAACTTTCTACAAATTAATATCTTTGACTGTCCAAGATTGGGAGCTATCAACCCCCAATGTTGCTCCAAAATTGTGATGTGCAGATAGATCAAAAAAGAAGTGAGCGGTTTATTCAAGTTCTAGACACACCTACCCTGGTGGCTTTTTCTTGGGCGCTTAGAAGCAAGACGTGGCCCGGATAGACCCCGGAAGCAAACGATCATTGGATATGTGCATATTTGAGATCAAAGGGGGAAAAAAACAAAAACAAAAACAATATATTTTGCCCAGGATCCCTACAGAAGCAAAAAAAATCAAATGGAAAAGAAATATAATGAAAAAAATATTAGCACAAAGAAACTTCCAAGGGTGTTCTGCACCTTCGACATAACCGGGGTGTACCGGGTGTCTGCATCAGCGCTTAACCATCGGTCATGAATTCTCCGTGGACAAAAGCCACTAAGCGGCTCGTGGGGCCTTCTCAGCCTCAAAAGAAATTGGATCATCTGTGACCAGTCGAGAGCCGCCCGTCTTGAACAAAGCCTCTGCATAGGGAATGCATAGAGAAGGATTGTAATCCCTCCATCTTTCCATCCCACAACCGATGTGTTGGAATCTAGTAGCGTCGTGTTGGTTTTTTTCTTACTTTTCTTCTCTCCTCGTGGGGGCTGCCAAAATGAAAATATTAGAATAGACAGGCTGTCCACAAGGCTGACTTTGTGCAGAAGATCCCTATGAAGACGGGGGGCCATATCAGCTTTGGGGGTTAAACATTTTATGTCTAAAATAGAAGATTTAATCCTGTTATAATTGATATTACATATGTACAAAGTAGTATGAGCATTATGATTTTGATGGGGCCCTCCACAATCCATCCACACTAGACCTCTCTAAAGCTCTAAGCGCTACGCTTTGTCTCCTTTGCGCCCAGAGGATCATCCACAACCCTAAGCAGCATAGTCTTTTCTGTTTTTTTAATATTATATTAATTTTTTGGCCCGTTGCAGTGGGTCTGAAATCACAGACTCACTTTAATTCCTATTCACTATGCAGAGTCTGAGCCCCTCGTCCAGGGATGGGGGCGGAATATGGATATCAACATTGGACTATTGAGTCCGCAGCGCTTAAATATAGGCTCTCGTCGAGTCTTCATGACTTTCCCTCCGTTCTAATGCGGAACAGCGCTCGTCGGCGGTACTGGTCTCTGTTTTGGTGCTCTCTGAGCCTATAGTTAATACCTCGACTGATTGTTCACATCTTGCCTTGTGAGGCATCCCGGTGCTGGCTGTGATATCGCTCAAAGTGGAGGATAGGCCGATTTATGCATCTTTCTTGCTTTTAAAGCTTCCCCTCTTTTCTTGCTCGCATGAATCTTATAAAATCGACTATCGTCGATGGTTGGGAATGTGAATATTTTCTACATCCTCTGAGCGAAAGGCCTTGTTGATATACACATCCAACCCTAACGTTTCAGCAAACCACCTTAGTCTTCCAGCCGCCTGCAGTCCCACATCTTGCCTTGCCTCGAGTTTCATATCTCGTTTCACATTCTGCTGCTTCGGCGTTTATTCTCCACACCCAGACAACTCAGTGGACTGTAAACTCCCCCCGTGTTTTATGTTCTGCTTGAGTGCAACCAGTCAACATCATGTCTAATCGCTCGGACATCCCCTGCTCTGAGGAAATGTCAGAGTATTATGAAAATATGCCAGCTCATTGGCCCCAGATTCCACCGGTATGTTCCTATGCGCCTCTGATATAGGACATTGTTTGCTTCTGAAACATGAACTGACCCATATACAAATATAGACTCCATTTTTGGGAGTCACCAGCCCCTACTGCACAGACAATATGGCTCAATCCAGCATGCTGACGCCAATCAGCCTTTCCGATGGCTCGTTTCGTCCCAGTCCAGCAATTAGTCACCACTCACATGGTTACTACACACAAGAATACCAATACAACCTCAATGACCCCCTCTCGGCCCCACTAGGTCTCGGTATCATTGCGCCCTTCCCGGATGATTTCCCTCGGTCTTCGGCCCCAAGTCCAGCCTACATGTATGCTCCGGAACCAAGTGAAATCCAGCATAGCGCGGCACAGACGCCTAGCCAGTCGCCACAGGGCCCACCACCATCTAAGCGCGCCAGGCATCCATCCTCGGACACGCCCTCGCGCGAGAAGCCAGGCAACACACCAATCAACATTGCTCCCAATCCAGAAGGCCTTCTCCGAATGGAGCATGAGCGCCAGCACAACATTCAGCCATCTCCACCCATACTCCCCAGGATCCGGGCTCCAGGCCGCGGGCGACGCGACCCTCAAGCAGAAGACGAAGACGCATTTGTAGAGGAGCTGCGAGATAGGCAAACGTCCTGGAAGCAGGTGCGTCAAGAGTTTCGGGACAGATTCAACAAAGATGCCTCCGAGGCGCGTCTGCAAATGCGCCTTCATCGCCGCCTCCGCGAGCGAATGGTGCGCTGGGAAGAATCAGATGTGAGTATGTACCTCCAGTAACAGATAGTATAGGCCAGCTGTGTAAGCTGGAATATACATGTGTTGAACAGTCCGTGCTGATACGCAAGTCTGATAGATCAAACTCCTGATCCGCGCCCATGGGACCTGGGCAAGAGATAAATTCCATTACCTTTCGGACAAGGTAAGCTTTCATATGTCCATATAATATAGAAAAAGTCCTAACAGATCTATTGATTTTTAATAGATGAAAGAACTCGGCGGTACTAGACTGTACTCGCCCGATCAATGCAGAACTCAACTTCAACTTTTAGATGCCAAAGAACAGCATCGTGATCGAGCGAGTGAATCGCCATCTGCTATGTCTGACCCTACTCCTATCACATCTACTGTGTCCCGAAAACGACCTCGAGCTCAATCCTTAGAGTCGGAGATTGATAGCGAGGAACCGACCTTTTAGATTCAAGAACCGTGCTTTTTTTTTTTCTCTTCTTCTTCTTCTTCTTCTCATTGCTTATCCATTTTCAGCTTGGCTTTGCTCTTTTCTCTTTCATAGGTTTTTTCTTTTCATTTTATTCAAAGATCGATCTGATCGACTCTTCACTCCGACTATAACCTTGGATTTGATTGGACTATGTTTGCAGAGCTGGGGAAAACATTGATTGCCCTTACACCATTCTCTATATATTTTATTTCTCTCTTTTATTTTTCTCTCTTATCTCGAATTTCGTTTTCATCTCACATTCTTCATATATTTGCAATGAGCTGTTGAACTTTCAGCCTTCAAGTTTAGTCTAGCATAGTAATGTAGTAGCCCCCGTCTAGGTCCAGGGCTGTGAAAAGCTAAAACAGATTATGCATGCACGACTATTTTGGGATATCAAGTTGATCTATTGGTTATTTTTCTAAATAAACCGGTATACGACTGATTTCCCACCCCGCTAGGATTTATGATCTCGTGGACCCAGAGGAATACCCGTAGCACAATGAGCCATCGAATCCCTAAAGTTCTCATTCCCGAAGGATGGTGTTTTTGTTTTATTCTGTATACACCATTGGAGATAGTAGTCCATGAATAAATAACGCACATGAGCAAGATCTTGAAGAATCATTAAGCCGATGAGATTAGTGGGATAGGGTTTGCTTCCTCTCAGGCAAGGTGTATAACCATGGAGAAGAATAACAAAAAGATCAACAACACTCATTGGAAGAAGGTAAAAAAGAAAATCGGAAATTTAAGACAATCTCTAGGATAATGAGGAGGTATGCCACGTGAAAAATAGCCAAGCGCATACAACAATAGCCCTGTCCTTGATCCAGAGACTCTGGGCGAGAATCTCTAGTTTAACAAAGCAAACCAACCAAGGTGAAACAGTCTAATCGTTTGTCATATGCTCCGTTGAGACAGCGAAGCCATCCAAACAAAGGGAGTTTACTAAAGACAAAGGCTTTGTGTTCAGAGAGATCTGAATCGGACCCTTTCTCTGGATAGATAATAGAAAAAAAGACAAGAAAAAATGATACCTATCTGAAACTAGCCCAGAAAATGAAAGGCAAGTACTCCAAGATCCCAAACACAGACTCAATCTGTTTCTTCGGTGCTTTGCATAAGAAGACGCGATGGGACCCCATTTAACCATCATTTCTAGGAACAAGGTCATCCAATCTCATCATGGAACCCCCAGACTTTACAATCCCCGACGACGGGCCCGTCAACGAAGCTCTTAGCCAGATTGTCCCGAAAGCCAAGAAGACTCGCCGGAGCCGCTACGACCCAGAGCCCGACTGGTCAGTCATAGTGCGTGACCAGGTCACGAAGTCTCAAAATCGCGTCGGCCAGGCCTGTGATCGTTGCAAGGTATGCCTATATAGCCTTGACTTGGACTAAGAACACAACACTGACGCATTTAAATTGATATCTAGGTCAAGAAGATGAAGTGTACGCCCGATCATGGAGGCTGCGGCTGCTGTCTTGTCCTCAACATCCCATGCAAAGTCACAGACCGTGTCACCGGTGAGACCTGGGTACGTGGTGAGGCTGGACGAATGTGGATTCTTATTGAGAACCTCAAAAGGCAGAATGAGGACCTGAAGGAGCAGGTCACGCAGCTTCAACAGAAGAATGCACAGCTACAGCAGTGTCTGGATGGTTCCTACACAACCAATCTCATGGGTCACTACGAGGTATGTCTTTATTCGGGTCTTTATAATTCACATCTTGCGTTGAAATATCTACGTTCTGTTTTTTTATCTTCGGTTTCGTCGGCTAACTCATTTTCCAGCCGGACCTTAACCCTGGACATCATCACCACAGTCTACTGTGATTGCGATGCCTTTTTTGTCCGTGCTATTTTCTAGACGATTCATGCCTTGCGGGCTTAGTTTCCTGTTTGCATCTGTCCTGTTCTATCCGATATGAAGTGTACGATCGAGAAAATGGGAATGACACATGGTGACAAGATTTATTCTTCTAGATACATAAATGCTTGTATTTTAAATACCGTGGACTTTCATATTTTAGGCAAGTGAGAGTTGACAGATTTCTTAGGGTAGACGGAGAAAATCGAATCTGTGTCTTATTTCCAAAAGGACGTGTCAATAGGTATATGTACATATGTAGTATGTTGGTGTAATCCCAATCCGTGCTCCGGGTATCCAAAATAGAATGCAATGTAAATCACAATTGCTCTTTTACCAGCCGGCATTCTTTTTCCAACAACAGCAGATTCCTTTGCTTTCACACCATTCCCTGACAGACGCAGTGCCAACCTCACGATCCTCGCCCACAAGTCCAAGCCCCTCGATATTAAGCCATGCTGTGAAATCTTCTAGAACAATAGGGTCGTACATGAGGATCTTTTCATGCCATGTCGGTCGACTACGGCTACCACGAGATGATGACAGCGGTGATAGCCGAGGCTGGGCACGAACAGCTTGAGTGATCTGTGCAGATATTTCCGCTAGACTGATTTCTTTAGAGGGCTCTGCTGTGTGGGTGGTTGTGATAGACGTAGAGGATGATGGTCTCTTGGCAGAAATCTTGGAGGGAACAACCTTGCGTTTGGTTGGACTTGGCGGTGGAGTTTTTGTGAGGATATCTAAGGAGTGGGGTTGCACCCAACTACCTGTCTTGGATTTTGAATAGATGTCGGTGTAGTGCTTTTGTACTTGACTTGGAAAGGGGATGATTTCTTCTTCTGAGTCTTGGATCTCTTCTACATCAATGAATGACGTAGAGGTCTCAGCGACAGGCTTCCCTCTTGAGCTTTTCTTTGGGCTTGTCTGAAGATTGGTTCGCAAAGTTGATTTTGTCACGTCAAGCGATTTTCGGTTGTTTGTAGATGTTCCAAATTTAGACTTGACTGTCTCCTTCGTCTTCGCACTCGAAGTGGGGGTTGGAACATTGTCCATTTTAGAGATAGGCTCTTTTTGTTGCTCGGGTTGGTATATAGGCTGGCTGTCGGAGGTAGTATTGCTACCGTGTTTCGATTCCCAACATTGTTGTAGGAGATCGATCATCTTCTTCCGGCCCCTGACTGCCTTAAAGCCATAAGTGGAAACTTGTTTAGCCAACTCTGTGTCTGTAAATCCGGTATATTGTGGCATTGAGGGCGCCTGCGAGGCAGTTGGCCAGGAATCAGCTACTTCAGTCGGGGTTCTATCGGTTCCCTTTGCAGGGTTCGCAGGTTTTGCAGGTTTTGTAGCTTTGGCCTTGGTCACTGCCGTGACTGTAGCCGCCGGGATCGGAGCCGGAGCTTGAACCTGTGTCTCTGAATTCAAGCTCCTTTTGGTCTTTTCTGGAGGTGAATCTATGTCTGCGAATTCAAGCTCAAACCAGTTCCTCTGAAGAGGTTTGTGGCTTGCTTTTTCCACATTTTCATGCCTCTTTTCCGCAGGAGGTTCTTCCCCATTCGTCAAGTCAACCACGTTTAGTTTTTCTGGTTGAATTAAAGATCCTTCGGTATCTCTGGCCCCAACACACCACAAATTCCTAGTGCCTGCCAACCTTGATACAAAACGAGTAGGTGATTCTTGGATCGCCCTGGAGTCGTTATTGCGCGTCCCCTCTGTATATGAAAGACCCTCGGAGGCGCGGATGGCCTGCTGGGTTTCTCGCAGAGTCTGTGGTGAATCATCTCTTTCCAATTGACTACAGGTGCCGAATACAAGATCTTGATCATTCAAAAATTCGACAGCCGCTTCTGGGGAAAGTACGGTGAACGAAGACTCTTTCTCTGTCTCTTTGGTCTTTCTTCGTCTTCCTTTTGCCGTTCTGATGTCCGGAAGACAATCAATCACCAACTCATCCTCTTCTGCGTCATTTGTTGAATATTGCGCAGTCATACGCGCCGTCAAGGTAGTAAACTTCTTAGGGTTGCCCTTGGTTGTCCTTTTGGGCTTTCCCGCGGATGCCACGTTCTCTCTTTGGGCAGATGCCTGATCACTTGAATCAGAATATCTTCCATTTAGCAATGCTTGGATTTCAGGATTGACCAGTTCTATCCGTCGACGCTTTGTTGGTCCTCCGCCATTTACATTCTGCACAAGGTCGCGGGGATTCAAAGCTGACCCAGAGTAATTATAATCGGATAGCAGCTTGCTAAATCCACCCGTGAGGTTCGGATAATGGTCCTTATCCTGGCTGCCACCATCGTTCGCGGTAGCGGTTTCCTCGCAGGCAGTCTCCCTTGGTGGTGTCCAGTCCATCCTTCTTCTCATCGCCTCGTCCAGATGCAACACCTCGTTTTCCCCCAAAGCATTTGATTTTTTGGGTGTAATTCTCTCGGGTACATCTCCAGAGGGTGATAATTTTGTGGCAACCGTCTTCTTCCCACCTTTGGTGGATTTCTTTACTGGTGGATCACCGCTTGTCTTTGTGACCTTCCCAGCCAGTGTCATGTTTCCTGAATCTTTGCCCTTGGCATTCTTTCGAGGACGACCTTTGGTCGGTTTCACTGCACCATTTTCTGCACTAACAGTCTCTGACTGGGGATTTCCAAGCGCAATTGTTCCTGGCGCATCCGCGGCTTTCTTCGCCTTTCGCCGCGGTTTGCTCGGTGCGGTTTGGTTGCTGGGGCCTGAAGTAGGATCTTTCTTTGTCGAACGTTTTTTCGGCTTCGCTACGTCCTCAGTGCACTTATTGCTCGTGATTGGAGTGGGAAAAAAACGAGAACGCGTATGAGGTTGGGACAAATCGGACGTCAAGTATATTGGTGGTGGCGTTGCATCTCGTGGCAAGACGCGGGAGACATGCTTTTCAGCATGCCTAATTGGCCCTGGCGACCGGGGTGGATTTGGAGAGGATGACAGAATGATCACGTCTGCAATGCTGGCCATCGTGGCGAGTCGCGTCTCTAGGTGTTTGCTTGATTGATCAAGGCGAGTCGCGTGTACTGCTTGAGTTTGCTATATCAGACATCTCCTAGGCAACTGTGTACCGAAGAAAAAATTAGTATGAAGTGTATGCAAGTCAAGTATGCTGGAAAAATCGCGTTTGAAGACCCAAGTGCAATGTTTCGATGTAAAGGGTCGCCCGCGGTCTTGGCAAGTTTTTGAGTTGACATACTACTAGTTCGGCCAGGCAACCGACTCCATTCAACCCCAACAGAGTGGATTAATACATATGTATTAAAAATGCTGAATACTTGATGGGATTAATTGGTCCTCAGTTTGAATAAATGTCTTTTTACTGTTTTGTATCACTAAACAAACGGCTAGCACCAGACGCGTCAAACTATGTATACTAAAACATGTCTTGTGCATCTAGAATATTTCATTCAATTCATCATTATCTTGACTTCGTGCACTATCTCGACAGAGATATCCGGGGTATTCTCTGCTCAATCTTAGGGCCGAGGAATAGTAGACCTCAGAAAAATCATGGTCTTCTGTTTGTGACTGATGACAGACATATCCTCAAGTTAAACCCAAGCTCAATATATCCCACACTAGAGAACAACAACACAATTCAGGAAATGAATGTATTTCCCACTCGTCCCAAAGCAAACTTTGGGAATTCCGAGTACAGTGAATTTGATTGCTTGATATAGGCAATTTCTCATGATCCCCTCAAGGCGATTGCACTCAACAAGGAATTTTCGAGTCGTTGCTTAGCCTCGTCATTCTCTTTAGCTGTTGGCGAAGGCAAAGCCCCTAGCTTGTAGGCTTTCTTGATCTTGTTGATATCAAAGATTTCGGAGAGTGTCTGGTCATTGAAAGGCACAGGTGTTCCTTCGACCGAGCTGTCCAAGTGGGCCGCAACAGATTCATGTGTTATCTCCGGAGAGACAGAGACCTTGATCGCCAACAGGTTTTTGGTTGAATCGGTAATACCGAATCTACGGAATGATTCAGTGATCTAAGTCCGTGTTAGCCCCGAGTTTAGTGGCAAATCTGCAGCTAATCCCTAGAATTGGTAACCCACATTATTCGTAGGGTTCAATGAGAACACAATCTCAGAATGCACATTATGAGACTTCAGTCGATTGTGCATATAATCATTTACTGCTCTGAATACTGCAGCAGTGACGTGAGCCCTTGACAGAATCTGTCACTTGGTATTAGTAGACGAGTTCCTTTTTTTACTTTCTCAAGGAAAACTTAACATACCATGTTTGCATCAATAAATGCATACTCGAATTCTGTATTCCCGGCGAGAAGTCGTCCTTTCAGAGATGCGGCATTTTGGACATCGCGATATAGAGCAACATGCACGGGCATCAATGGTAGATGTGGCAGGCTAATCGTTTCTAAACTTGAAGCCATGACTGATATCGAACTGAGACAGAAGCCAAAAGAAGATGACGTATTTGTAATTAGGCCGATCTGATAAACAAAATTAAAGCCTGGAGCTTCACTGTGAGTAAACCCATCCCACTTCTTAATGCACGTGACAAGTTCTGGAATTTTCCGGATTTAAGCGGTCGGCGGCGGAACATGAGTAATCGCCTCCATATCCATCACCCGTGGATCCGGCTTTTAAACGACTCCTCACTCTCGACTTTCAACACTCCCCATCGCAAACATGGCTTTCTTTTTACGGCGTCCGTTCGCTGTATCCTCGGCGCTTCGCCAGGTCCCTAAAATCACAAACACAGCCCGATTTATTCACAACTCTCCAATCAAGCCCACCCAAGCAACAAAGCCCCAGGGCGTTTCGTCCTCGATCTTCGCCAAGTCGCGACAGAACTTCCAAAATGCCTTCCGCCGTACATACATGCAGCAGAGCGCCAACCCTGCACAGGGTGGTAACATGACCCAAAAACTAGTGTATGGCGCTGCCATCATTGGTGGTACAGTTATGGCAACCAACTTCATCTTCAACCGTGAAACAAGAGAGGATGGTGGTATGCCCGCTTACGAACGGAGCTTCTTGAATGAAACCTTTATGCACACTGGTCTTGGTATTGGTATCATTGGTGTTGCTGCTCGCGCCCTCCACATGAGCGGCTGGTCTTATCGTCTCATGGCCATGAACCCGTGGCTCGTCATGGGTGTCGGTCTCGTTGGCAGCATCGGCTCCATGTACGGCACTTTCTACACTTCCCCAGATAAGTAAGTTTTTCTTCTCTCTCTTTTTTGTTCCCCGGAAAAACAAGTTGAGCTAACCTTTCCATTAGCTACGTCGTGAAGTATGGCTGCTGGACTCTCTTCAACCTTACCCAGGCTGCCCTTCTCTCCCCATTGATGTTTATGAACCCCGCCATTCTCGCTCGTGCTGGTCTTTACACTGTTGGTATGATGGGCTCAATTGCATTTGTCGGTGCTACTGCCAAGCAGGAGAAGTACCTATACCTGGGTGGACCCCTTCTTGCTGGTGTGACCATCGTTGCTCTCTCTGGATTCGCCCCCATGGTTCTCCCTGCTACTGCCGTTCGCACTTTGATGTGGTCTGAACGCCTCTGGCTGTACGGTGGTCTTGCCGTCTTCGGTGGTTTCACTCTCTATGACGTGCAGAAGATTCTGCACCATGCTCGTCTTGCCGAGCGCGGCCTGATCAAGCGTGATGTGGTCAACGAGTCCGTCAGCCTCGAGTTGGACTTCATCAACATCTTTATCCGCATGGTCCAGATCCTCGGCATGGGCAACAATCGTCGTTAAAACTACCTTATATCCACTTTATTAACTGGATAGCCTGATCTCGGGTTTATTCAACACCAGAATTGGTATTTCTCCATTTTTCCCCTCCATCATTCGACACCCTGTATTTGAATCAACTGTTGTTTTATATCTTTTTTACTTTTTTTTTTACTTTGGTCTTTTGACGTTGATGTTTCTTCATATGGGCAAGCGCAGTTAATCGCTGTTTTGTACTTGCTAAGAGACATAGAACAGATAGGGTAGCGAATACACATCTCCACTCCCTTGACATATCTGCTGCATATAAAAAGAGAGTTGACAAGACAATGATTCGAGTCTGCAAACTCCGGCTTTGGAAGAGAAACAAAATAGCAATCACTTACTCTAGTGTTTAGTTCTAGGTAGGTATAGTTATGTGTAGTAATATCAAATGGTAGAGATTTAATACCATGACTGGTTGTCTGAACAAGACTATATATTACCTCGCATTTTGTTACTTTATTTAGGCGCAACAGGTAAAAAATATCATTTAGTTATAGAGCTCCATATATAATCTTCTCAATTATCAGACGCAACGAACTAGAAGGGCTGGTTGTGGTCATGTGATATCAAGGTTCTCTAAGGTGAGGTTGCCCAAGACCGCCCAAGAGACCGCCCAATAATACCGCCCTCCGCCCTCCACCCTCTGCAGACTTCAGATCGTGATCCAGACCCAGACTCACTGACCGCTACAAAAGTGCAGATTGAAACCCTCGACATAATATCAACACGGTCGCGCCAGACCTTTTGCTCCCCCACCTTACATCATGTCGAATGAGATGGAAATTGACCCTCCTGTCGCACACGACGACGCTCCCGAGCAGTCGGACCGCAGTTTTGAGCCACGCACCCAGGGGAACGCGGTCGCGGTGCGCAGTATCGAAGGATGGATTATTATTGTATCTAATATCCACGAGGAATCATCGGAGGAAGATGTCACTGAACTCTTTGCGGAGTATGGTGAGATCAAAAACTTCAGCTTGAACCTTGATCGACGAACAGGTTATGTCAAGGTGCGCATCCTCAATCTCACTACTACCTCTGATGTCCCTCAAGAACACCCCTTCTGAAGAACCCCTATCGACTCACATCTAATGAAATGATTGCTAATATCAATATTCCGGCAGGGCTACGCATTGATCGAATACTCCACTCTCCCCGAAGCCAGTGAAGCTATCCGGAACCTTAACGGTTACAAACTCCTCGAACAAACGCTTCGTGTCGACTATGCTTTTGTCCGCCCACCTCCATCAGGCAAGAACAAGAGTGGAGGGCCAAAGGGACGGGCTACTCGGAACCGCAGCAGAAGCCCCAACCGGAGTCGCAGCCCCGAAGCTGGCGGCGACCGGGACTAAGCTTTCATAATGGATGGGAACGATAAAATTTGACCGGCATAACATTGCTTGTGATCTTTCATTTGATACCTGGGCTTCGCTTTTTCTCGCATTGTTTTCAATACCTCGCGTTGTTTCGTTCGAACGTTTGCCCACCCTTCCTGCCAGAACTTGTCTATAAATGATGGACATGTCATCTAGTATTCGCCGGCATGACCCCTCTTCAGTCGATCCTGTATGAATCCACAGGTCGAGTTTGCGTGTGCATGGGACACATGCACACAAGAGGTACGTGCCGGCGCCACGATAGATTGCCATAATGGTATGTAAATCCATTCTTAACCTTTTGGTTACAATTATGCTGACATCGACTCAGAAATGAAAGGCCTTTTGATGAAAATTGAAAATTGGTGTATGAGCATCTGGTCAACAAAGACAATCTTGAATCTTGGACACCCAAGCCTAGCCTCTGGGAGTAATATACATCCTGAAGAATGGAGGTTCTTAGTTGTAAGCGACCTTTCATCCGTCCACTTGTCTTGTGACTTATCTAAAGGCTAAATAAGAAATGGTACATTAATACTCTCTAGTATACGATGTAGTATCTAGGATCCGTTTCGGGGTGTGATCCATCATGCGACAGCCATCTGGCGCCAGAGTAGAGTCGATAAATATTTGAAATATAGAGTTAGTATCGTAAAGTCAGAAGGCTTTGATGTTTTTACGGGGTGATATAGGGCTTTGATGCAAATACAACGGATGTGGATGTCCTCACCTGGCAGCTGCGGACCTCACCTGCCCAGGCGGGCAGCGGGTCTGGTGACTAAGCTTAACCCTATCCGGTCCCCATTTTCCCCGCATGGCGCATGAGGTTATCGCTGTTCCTCTTTTTTAGTCGCTGCCATTGCGCACTCTCTACTCCATACTCTCTATTCTTATAAACGGACTCCAGAATCCTGTGTCCGGGGATCTGATTCTGACAGGATATATTTCCTGAGGCAGAATGGCTCCCCAACACACATCTGGTACCCCCTTGGGGCTATCACGATCGCTATACTGTATTCTTATGCTATGCTTCCTATCATTTTCAGCGGTGGTCAATGCGCTGGCGCATCCATCTCAGGAAGTTTTGGAAGCACCTTCATTTTCCAATTCGATTGGTGATGCCTCAAGGGAGACTGCCTTTGGAGTTACCGAATCAGCGCCGCAAGGGTCAACTCACGACCCAATTCTGAATACCTTGCAGGATCTTATCGCCGCCCTGCAGGTAATGCAGGACAAGTACTTTGTGCTGTGGCAAGGCACGTGGCCAACCAGCATCGATTGGACCGCTGCAGTGTTGGGCACCCACGTTTCGGCAGCACTCTCGTCTCTAACCTCAGGTCCACTTGATATTCCCGATACGGATGAATTGCAAGGATTATCCTTTTTCAGGCTGGAGAATACTGTCAATCGTTTTTTCAGCCAGATTTCCGCGTTCTACTTTGGCGAAAACGCTTTCAGTCTTAGAAACCAGGCTTACGATGACATGCTATGGGTCGTGCTAGGGTGGTTGGAGAATATCAAGTTCCAGAATCTTCACTCGGATCTTCACTATGTCTCCTCAAACGACAGTTCTAGAGAAGCTTGGTACGGCACCCAGTTCCAAAGCTCTGCTGCGCACAGAGCGCGCATATTTTACGAGCTCGCCTCAGCTGGTTGGGACAAGACCCTCTGCAATGGCGGCATGATCTGGAGCCCATATTTGATGCCGTATAAGAATGCAATTACAAACGAGCTCTATATCTCTGCAAGCATCGAGATGTATCTGTACTTCCCCGGAGATTCAATTGGCGCCCCGTTCCTTGTCGACTCGCAGGGCACACAGTCCGCGCGGAAGAACCCGCACGATCCTCTTCATCTCAAGGCTGCAATTGACGGGTATGAATGGCTCAAGAATTCAAATATGACTGGGATCGGCGGCCTCTATGCAGATGGTTTTCACATCAGTGGCTGGCAAAGCACATCAAATCCCGGCTCGGGACAATGTGATGACCTCAACACTATGGTCTACACCTACAATCAAGGAGTTGTTCTCAGCGGGCTGAGAGGACTCTGGCTAGCCACAAACTCGCAAGTCTATCTGCGCGACGGTCACGATCTTGTTCACAAAGTACTACAAGCTACCGGGTGGCCGCATACCTCCAGCCAGCAGTGGAAAGGACTTGGTCGCGGGGGTGTGCTCGAGGACGCATGTGATTCTCGCGGAGTCTGCTCACAAGATGGACAGACCTTCAAGGGAATATTTTTCCACCACCTTTCGGGATTCTGTCGACCGCTTCAGCCGCAAGAGAAAGAGTTCCTGGCGGATACGAACCGCAGCCATGCAACAGTTGACGACTGGGCTGAAGACTATGAACAGCATATGAAGCGTTGTCGATCATATGGTCCCTGGATTAAACACAATGCACAAGCCGCTCTCATGACTCGTGATAGTGATGGCAAATTTGGTGGCTGGTGGGGCCGCCCATATCATCAGCTAGATGCCAACAAGATCGTGGATAGCAGTATTATCCCGGATGGTGCTGTTGACTACCGCAATGCCGATTATGAATCCAAGTCTTCGACTACAGGTCCCACACCGCAGGACTACAACGATCGTGGCCGAGGCCGCACGGTTGAAACACAGTCTGGCGGCATCGCTGTGTTGAAAGCCCTGTACCAATGGCAATCATATGATGCTCGATGAACAAAACGAATGAAATGTTTGGGGTTTGGGGGTTTCGGGTTTGGTGTTCTGGCGGTAAATAGACATCATTCATTGCATCCAGGACTTTGGGGGCTCTTTTGTACAACCTATACAGTCTATGATTACTGGAAATCATTATCATATCCTTCAGGTTCAACGTTGGCTTCTCAAGACTCTAGGCCCAATCCCAACATCCATGTTAGGCCTAGTTGCCATTATGTAAAGCTGAAATTGCTTTCACATTTTGACAACTTCCCTTGACAGTTCGGACTGTCGATCAAAACTGCATAGTACTTCTGCGCTAGCCTCGCAATCCGATCCTTCATGGATATCACATCCACTAATCGAACTTCCAAACAGGATGATTGGCAGGGATGGATCCCCAGCTCCCACATTCCGATAGATCCCCGCAAAGCACGGCACCCAAAACGGGAATTCAAATCTGAAAAACCGGATTACTTGATCGTCAGATCGACAACAGGCAGACATGGTAAGCGACGGGGAAGTGTCTGTGCTATGTGTTACCTACACGGGTTTGGCGGGGATATTGCAAGACATTTTGAGGCTGACATACAAAAACGACATCCATGGATACTTCTAGCGATAGATGCACAACATTGACGACTCTTACCACTTTAGGTCTATTTATACAGTATCTGTTCGGAGTCAACTCGCTCTTTTGTATACGAGAAGGTAATAACATCTCTGTGTTCCCGGTAGAGTGGAACCTAAGCAATGAATGGTCTTTCATATTGTTATTTCCCCGGTGAACCCCATTCGATTGCCATAGACATGCTGTTCGATGTTTACTTTCAAGTCTATACAATAATGTGAGACACATTTTGTCGGCACATATCTTCGGCTTTTACATGGATATTAAACTCTACCGTACTCCGTACTTTGTACGTATTAGGCGGTTATCTACTTCCATTTTGAGGACAGATGAGCTTCAATGGTCAAATGCATGGAATTACCGGAAGAACCTTAAGAAGGCTCTACACACGAGGTATATTCCTTCGGGTGACGCCTACTCTAAACGGAAATATCGAGGCGACAAATCTTACACTAAACACTAAATTCTATTTAATATGATTGGGCCATCTAAACTGCCCAGCATCGAAAGAAAGACAGGGAGATGGCCACTTAGAAGACAAAGAGGGGCAAAAAGAAGCAAAAAGAAGGGGAAAAAAACCCACTCTAGCGTGCGACTAAACATCCTTGACGCCCCCTCCGTAATGAGAGACGAAAAACGCGTTCGTATAGGTGGGGGGTTTTTCGGGACTCCGTAGGGCATGAATCAGACGAAAAGTAGTTGCAGATCGGCGGGTACTTGGGTTTTTGAATCAGAGTAGCTTTTGTAAAGTCAAAAAGATGTGTCTCATAAACAAAGAGCTATAAAGGTGTAAAGTAAATAGTAGAAGTTCATGGTCTGATGCTGATTTGTCTTGATGACCACGTTTTTTTTTAGCGGGAACCACAAAATTATAGTAATTTAGCTTACACTAATACCAGTACTCTTATCATTAGATTACAGTCACACGCACACCCCTCATGGGCTTCGGTGTACCTTTCCTAGTTACACTTGTGTTCACGAGATATGTAGTACGGTATCAGGCCTGAGCACATATATATCTTTCCTAAGTCATCTGACAACGGGATCCAGGAACGCATCTGGTTTGATAGAGGTGAGTTGGCTGTCATCAACCGCATAAGCACCGAAGCCAAGACTTTTTGAGGATATTATGTGCAAGATAGTCAAATACTGATTCTCTCTTTTTATTTTGGTTTAGTCTGATGGGTCTAACTCGGCACAAATAGCTTCAAATTAAAAGCACAAGTTTAAAAAAAAGAATATAGTACTGGAAATCATAAGCAAATGTCGACAAGTCCCCCCCCCGGACCTTGAAAGTGGCGTCGGCAATTCTGATCATTCGGGTACCTACAATATATTACCGGGGCCGAAGAGCATAGCATGGTCACGTCAAAATTAAGCATCCGTACTCCGTACTCTTTCACTCTCCAAACATATACCAACTAATTAGAGTACAACATACACAATCATTTGATATTCATGTTGAGATCGGCGCCTACGATGACACTCAAGTTTCACCTCCTTTTCAGCAAGCGATTCATCAAATAATAAGAAAGCATGTCAAAATCCACAGGAATGGATCGTCTGAAGCCCAAACGTTGGGCGCACATTGGTTGTGAGGGGAGTGGGCTACGGACGGAAGATGGTGACTGGTTGCGGGATATTACGACAGACCTCGGAGTGCGGAGCAAGAAAATGCGGTGCCACTGAACTCTTTACGAAGTGAGTTAGCTTCCCCATTTATTCTCAACTGTGAATCTGTGTATTTTTTTGGGGGTTTGATTTTTAGTGGCGGTGGAGGCGGCTAACGAGGGGCGAACGGGGATTTATTATCGGATCTATTTTCCTGCCTCTCAACACGTACATATACGTTTTATATCTGCATATACATATAAGTATACAACCCTTGTTTGCCCTTCATCCTGGGCAGGATTGGGAGGATATTCTCATAAACGAGTTCGGTTCCCGTAAATCTTTGTCGGCCGATCTTGCCCAAGGGCGGCCCGTATCTACCCCCTTTGGAATCCCTCTTGTCACCGTAATGTAGAAGAATTATAATATCAGAAAAGGGTGTATAAGTATACCTACTTCTCATACTAGGTATTATATGTACTTTGTACTGCATACTATGACTACGAGGTATATCCGCGTGAGAACTACGTTGTAGGGGCCAATGACATGGCGTCATCTGGCTCTGAGGCTCGATCGACATTGCATGCCCCTCCCCTGAAGGGACGGGGGTATGGCCACATGTGCAATATTGTATAATACGTACATTATTAGTACGGAGTATACAAAATATAAGATTGGATTTAATTCTTTATTCCCCAGGTTACCCGGTGGACGGGATATCCGGGTGAATAGAATGCAGGAAGACCCAAGATCCCGGAGCCAAGTGGCTGACTTGAATATATAACATTGAGAATAAAGATGTATACAAAGAGGAATGCTATTAGAAGGTGTATATTTTATTTTTCACAATACGTGTCAAATCAACATACTAGCGGTGGAGGCAGAAGAGCGGAACCGAGGAAAGTGCCCTATGATGTACCGAGTACTTGATCGAACCTTGTGCAAATGGGGAACGGCGGTGTACCGGGTACTTCACCAAAAGGCGTGTATGGAAAGGGGAATCTAAGGAGCCACCCGTTAGTTCCTGAACGCCTCTCATTTGTAGAAATCCCCTCTTTTTTTCCTTTTTCTGAATCCTCACCGGTTTATTTTATATTTTATATATATTTTATATGTTTTATAATTTTTATAATTTTTATTATATTTGATTTTTATATATGTCAACAGACCAGGGTTATATTATTAATAGTGCGCTAGTTAGTTATCTATGAATTGTAATTTATAGGTATATTAATTCACCCTAACGGAGTATATGTATGTAGGTATAAATAGGTAAAATTTAAAATTTTAAAAAAAGAAAGTCATGAACATATAGAGAAAACAATATAGAAAATATACATAGTAAAACATAGCAAAACATAGAAAACATAGAAAACATCGAGAAAATAAGAAACCCTCTCTCGGAGGGATGATCCAAGGGACATGGGTTCCTCCACCTACTGAAAAGGTGCTAAGATAGACAATTATACTGGAGACACCTTAGGTACCACTGGATACCGCACCCGTCGCACCATAACCCAGGTCACTTTGGTGTACCCCCTCTCCCGTAACACCGATACCGAAACTCTCTTCCTTTTTCCCCCAAAGCTCTTTTCGGTTTTCTGACTCCCTCTCTCTCTCTCTTCTCTCTTTCTTCTGACTCTTTCTCTTTGAAAACATATTCCTACAACATCTCTAGCCTCGATTCCGCCCCCCTTGTGGCCAGCCTCTCTTTCTGAAAAGAGGGAGGAAAAAAAATTCCCAACAGACCTTCCCTTTGAACCCACTCCGGTTACCTTTTCTCTCCCCTCTTCGCCCTAACATCGAATTGCATTCATCTCAACCCACGCATTTCGAAATAACTCGCCTTTTATCAGAGTCGGCCCCGGTCGTCTTGAAAAATTGCACAATCCTCCTCTCCTTCTCGACTTTCCACCGACCCGGTAGCTACCTCAAGCGTAACACAGATTTCTCATCTGGGGTACATCGCTAGGGGTAGACCGTGGTCGTTCATCAGCCGCTTTTTTTAACCTCCGGCCTTCCTTTAATCCGCCAACCCTTAATCGTGCGAGCTTGATCATACCGCCATCCTGGACCTCCTTTCGATTCTGTGTTTCGCGAGCAGTAACCTTTATGGCACCAGATACCGAAATGACTGAAGCTTTCCCCGTTGATACTCTGCCGCAACCAAACGACAGTGGCCGTATGCATATGCCATCTCTCTCATCATCTTCTTCTATATCCGACGCAGAAATCGACCGTCGAGGCCGATCAGAACGTCCGCGAATGGCGAGCCGCAAACCCAGTGCTTCGATTCTTGTTCCTCGGGATCACCCCGAAATTGAAATTGAAGAGGAAGAGTTTCCCCCAGACGACGCCCGCGCCATGAGTCCACGACGCAATTCTGCCGACCTAGAGCGTTTGGGCAAGGAGGCCCGACAGACCCTACAGGAGTGAGTTTTTTTAAAAAAAAAGGTGTCGAGGCGTTTTTCTACTGAATTACGTCAACTCGAACGTTTCAGTAGCTAACTTTATGATTTTTAAAAAAATATAGGCAAGCTAAGGCTCTCCAATCATCCCTTCAAGCTCTTGCCGAACGCATCGATGCGGTCAAATCGGACCATGATAAGTTGGAAAACGAGAACAAAATCCTACAAGACTACATCGGTGGTCTCACTCGCAACATGACCAAGAGCGAAATGACCCGCAGTACGAAAGCACGCAAAGCACAGAAATAGACCGGCTTTCCTCCGAACAGAATGTCGCAAGGTGGCCGGATTTCTCATCCCGTGAACGT